TATATATATATATATATATACGAGGGAGTGAAGAACGGCTAAAGGGAAATGGTATGATTACGTGTCTATGTATAAACAATATGAGCGTCATTCATGCACTACGAACTCCCTGCACACATGCCTATCACTACTGCCACATTTCATGGTTATTCGGCGCATTCTCGCCTTGTTGAGTCCTCTACGTGAAACTTTAAAGGGGGTGCGTGCATTAAGTTACACATGCATACGGTCACCGCCCCCCTTCCCCCATTGACACAAACAAACATACGCGCGAATATCATCACTGCCACCACATGCAAACACAGAGATATTATGCATTATACACCTCCACTAGGGCTCTTGTTGTACCACACGGAGCTTTCATCCACGCGTGAGGATGCCACTTCTTTGGGACATTGCTCTGATTTTCTCCACTTATTGCTGCTCCAAAAAAAAGAAAAAAAAGAAAAAAATATATATTTAAACAAACAAAAAAAAAGGAAGAGGCATCAACAGCAATACCAACACCGCGAAGAGAGACCAAGAATAGTGCAAGAGCCAATCAAGTCCCTTCACGCTTCTTGGAATATCGCAATGCGTCGCTGTTCCTCTATCCGTGCAGCTATCTTCCTGGCGGTGGTGTTAGTCGCCGCCGCATTCCCGTCCGTGGCGCTTGCCGAAGACCCGTCAGAGCCACTGGAGGGCGTCGCGGACCTCAACGCCGCTACATTTGACGCCCAGGTCGGCAAGGACATCCCCGCGCTGGTGGAGTTCTACGCACCGTGGTGCGGACACTGCAAGAATCTTGTGCCAGAGATGCAGAAGCTCGGCCTTGCGGCCAAGGCGGCTAGTGGAAAGGTGCTTGTCGGCAAGGTCGACGCGACGCAGCACGGCGATCTCGCCGGCCGCTTTGGCGTGTCGGGGTACCCGACGATTCTGTTCTTCCCCGCTGGCTCGGTGAAGCCGGAGAGGTACAGTGGGCAGCGCGATGCCTCTGCATTTGTGTCGTTCCTCAACGAGCGGTCACAGGGGCTGCGGCTCTCTTTGCCGCGCGAGCACAAGTACGTGACACAGCTCGACAAGGACAACTATGATGCCATTGCCCTCGATGACACAAAGGACACCTTCATCATGTTCTACGCGCCGTGGTGCGGCCACTGCAAGAAACTGCATCCCATCTTCGAGCGCCTTGCGATGGTGTACAAGGACGAGCCGGATGTCGTCATTGCAAGCCTCAACGCCGATGACAGCGCCAATGCTGCTGTGCGCAGCCGTTATGAAATTGACGGCTTCCCCACCCTCGTGTTCCTCTCCAAGGGGATGAAGGACAAGCCCATCTACTACAACAAGGACCGCGAGCTGGATGCATTCGTGAAGTTCCTCAACGCCCACACCGGAAAGAACCGCCTTGAGACGGGCGACCTCTCCGCGGAGGCTGGTGTCGACGTGGGGTTAACAAAACTTCTGCAGGACATGCTGGTAGAGGGCAAGAGCGCCGAGGAGAAGCAGCAGCTGCTCGCACAGGTGAAGGATGCTGCTGTACTTGTGGCAGGTGAGGCGGCTGTGCAGTACCCGCGTATCGCGGCGAGGGTCCTCGACGGAGGTGTGGCGTACATCGACAAGGAGCTCGCACGCATCGGGCGCATGAAGCAGGGCGACCTGCGGGGAACGAAACGCGACATGATGACGATACGCGCCAACATTCTCACCTCTATAAAGCCTCAGTAGGCGGGGAGCGCTGGCTGTGGTGGCAGTACGGGAGGGTGAACGAGAGTAGACGTGAAGGGGGAGACTGAGGTGTTGTGCGCTCTGCCTCGCTCTCTCGCTCGGTTCGCGTCTGCGGTGCGTCGACGTGAGCTAAGGGAAGAACGTTATTCAGAACAGTGAGGGGGAGAAAACGAAAAAGGAAAAGAGAAAAGAATGAAGGACCAGCCTGAATTGCGACAAGAAAAGAAGAAAAACAAGGCCAGTGCGATAAGCTGAACGAAGGAAGGACCGTTAGCGTGGGACCAAGGGTGAAGAAGAATCAGGCTGATGATAAATGCATTATATATATATATGTACATCTTTAGCAGACTGTTTTGCAGATGAGATTACGACCCGCCCTTGATAGAAACAGCTCCGAACTCTTTTCTTTTTTGTGCGTGCATGCTCTTGATTTCCTTTGCTGTTGTAGGGCGACGTACACAATTCGTGTCCTCCCACTCTCCTCTTTCAGTGAGGTGAGAATGGGTAAATAGTGTTTGTGTCGGCTCTTCTTCCTTGGTCTCTCTCTCTCTCTGTGTGCTTTTTTCTTCCCCCTGCAGAGGGGGGTGGGGGGGACAGCGCTGCTGCGCGAGGTGCCAGCGGTGCACGACCCTCTGAGGTTGTGCTATGTGTGGAAGTGTGCCATAACAATCTCTTTCCCCGCTTCCTTCTTGTTTTTTTTTTGTTTTTGTTTTCCTCCATCGCGAATATCTTCGTCTTCGCCTGTTTGCAATATGCGCCCACTCTTACTGCAATGTCAGTTGGTTTAGTGGCAAAACAGGGCCACGTCGTAGTGAAATTTTAAGAGGGGCACTAACCGAACGAAATACCAGCAGAAACAGCAAGAATAACAATCAGTGGGTGCCGTATCATGGTCACAGCGGACGATATTCACGTAACGCTTCGGCGCAGTCGTGCAAGTGATGCTGGCCCTCTCTCGCAGCTGACACGCTTGGGCACCATCACGCCTTGTGCCCCGCCCTCGGCACTCTTCCCATGGAAGACGGCAGCGGACTTCATGGTGCTGATCGAGCGCTCCGTGACATGCATCACCGCGGTATCAACCATCTCTGGAAGGGTGGTGGGGTGTATTTGCCTCGACGACACACCGCATGTCCAATCTATTCCGAGCGATTCCTGGGAGTGGATGCTGCAGCAGACCGATGCACACAACGCTAACGGTGGAGATGCTGGTGTTGCGCGGATAGCGCCCTATAACACGCTATGGATTCGCTCTGTTCTTGCACCGCCTTCCAGCGCGTTCCATTCAGGCGTACCCGACCCACAGGACAAACGGGCGTTGGATATAGAGCGGAAACTACTCCTTCACAGCTACAGTTCAGAGGACCTTATCGGGTTGCTACTGAACACTGCCCTCACGAATTCACCGCTGACAGCGCACTTGCTGGTTCCTTTCCCAACGGGCTGCTCGTACCCCGAGCTAGAACGATTTTCGAAAAATACTGTGCCACTCAACAACTGCAAATTTAAAGGATCACTACTCCACATCCGGTCCTCACAGATTGTACCGCAGCTGGCCCTCCGTCTTGGCATTGTGGAAGACTACGACGACTTTGTCTCAGACCTCCTGGATGGACGTGGCCTCATCACTGCGTTGCCAGGGGAGTTCTATCTAGATGAGATTCTTAAGTACCAGGACACATATCGTAAGGCCATCATCGCCGAGGACGCCAATTCGCACCGCGTGGTGGGGCTCATGTGCCTGGAAGCATCCATCGAGGACCAGCAGGTGATCTCACGGCAGTACGCCACTGAGGCGTTTGGTAAACTACGCCCAATGTGGAGACGTCGCAGCACCGCAAAGGGTGTGACGAAGGGCACCAACTCGGACACTCCAAATGTTGTGCGGATTTACTTTTTCCACATCGACCCAGACTACGCGCTGTGTGCCACACAGTTCCTGCCGTTTGTTTTTCAGGAGTTTCCCTTTGTGGAGTACGCCATGATTGTCCTTCCGTACGACCAGGAGGAGCCGCCTTTCCTGCAGCAGTTCGAGGGTGTTCCCCTTCGGAAGTATCAGCCGCGCAATGCCAAGGGAGATGCAGTGCCGCCGCCTGAAGGTCTCTGGATTACTTGTAGATTTGCGGCGGACCCTATAAGGGTGGTGCCGGTGCGCAGCACAGCTGATGTAGAGCGCATCTCAGAGTTTCTTGAAGAACCGCTCGGTGAGTTCTCCCAACAACACGTCGCGGCGTTGCTAGATGATATTGACGTTGCATGTGGTGCTATAAATGATGCAATACAAGAAAAAAACAAGCCGACCAATTCGGTTGCCTTCGGCCTCATTGCGGACACTGACGAAGGTAACACACAGCCCATTGTTGGTGTCGCATCGGGACGGTTGTTGACGGTAGAGGAAATGTACGCACTGCGGGCTAACTACGATCTTGATACGTTTGTGAACTACTACACGGAAAAGCCGCTGGATTATACCGAGACGGATATCAGCCTTAGTCCAGAGGAGGGGCGGCGAAAGTTCTTTCGACAAGAGATGCGTGGTATTCTCATTCGCAGCTTCTATGTGAGGGCTGCGTATCGTTGCCACGTCCAATTCTTTGTACGGGAGTTACTGCGCCACACAGGGTGTGAGGTGGCGCTCGTGTTGGAGGACAATCGCTCAGCCCCCTATGCGCCACTGCTGCGGCAGTTGGTGCACGCCCCACCGCGGCAGGTACAAGAGAAACGCCGAGTTGTAATGAATTGGACGGCCAACGAACCTGATAAAAAAACTGTGGACGGAAAAGATGTGGCGTCACTTGGATGCCTCTTCGTTGCTACACGACGACTGCTTGGGGACCGTAAGAAACTCGTTCACACACGGATTATTGTGGTTGGCGCCAGCTCCACTGGCCTGGCATGTATCCACCGTCTTCTTGCCGTGCCGTATGTGACCTTCACAAACATCGTGCTCATCTCGACTGACGGTATGCCGGTGCACCCGAATCAGCAGCCGTACTTATGGTGCGTGGACCGGATGGAGCTATTGGAGCGAGAACACATGGGCTTCATTGTGGGAAGCCCGGTGCGTGTTGTGTGCGGCTCTGTCGTGGATGCCGATACAACTCAGCGATACGTGAGTATCGACGACGACACGTATGAACCCTACGATTATCTTATTCTCACAACAGGACGTCAGTGTGTCATTCCGCAGTCGATCTGTCGGCTCCACCATCCATCGCACCAGATTTCGCGTGGATTCGTGCCACAGGGTACCCTTGCGCTTTCGGGTGAGTCGGCTGTTGAGAAACTCCGCCAGCACCTCCACGACTTGGACCGCAATCCGCAAAACATCAGTAACATTCTCGTCTACGGCTCAGGGCTCGATGCGTTTGCTGCCGTTACCTCGATTGTGCGTCTCGGATTCTCGCCACAGCGCATTGTTGTGGTGATGCCAGAGGTGACAAACCCTTTTGTAGACAAGGATGCCTTTGATTGTGTGGTAAAGATGTGGAACTCACTGGGCACCAATACTTTGCGCGGCTACCGCGTCACCCGCATGGAGTACGACGACGACGGCACCACACTGACGACTGTTGTCATTTCGCCTGTGCCCACACATGGCGAGGAAGGAAACGCTGGCCCCTCCGGTGGCGTTTCGAGCTCAGTAGAATTGGGCTGCAGCCTCATCGTCTGCTGCGAGGATAAGGACATTGACGGCCACATTCTATCCACGCTGACTAGACGGTCTATTGTGTTCGATGGACGCGTCATCGTTGAGGCAAACTACCGCACCACCGACAAGCGCGTGTACGCTGCCGGTCCGGTGGCAATGTTCACGCGCCGCTACGGAACGACACCAAACTTTGACGATTTTAACGCACGTGATGTGGGGACAAATTTAGCCGAGATCATACTCGGTATCATCGGCTTTGAGGAGTACGCTGACCCAAACCTTGATAGTCTTGATGGCAAGAATGAGGAGATGGCAGCTGCCCACAACGAGCTGTACACAAAGGTTTTGGAGGAGAATGGCAGCCGTGGAAAAGATTTCCACATTGAGCTTGGCACTCTACAGAAAACCGAAGATGCGCAACGTGTGGTGGAGCTGCAGCAGAAACTACCCGCCTACAATTCTCCATTGGCAAGCCGTATTCGCCTTCCTGGGGACTACCTCTTTTTTTGCTGCAGGTGCGTTGACTTTGACCCATCACGGTGCCTGCGCCTCTGCTACTCTTGCATTGATGATAACAAGCCAATTGTGACGACTACCTTGGACTTTAGCCAGGTGCTAACGCCTATAACGCCTTGTGAACCGACAAAATCTCCTGAACAGAGCCTTCTTGTGATTTACGTTGATGAGCAGACACATTATATCGATGCGGTGGTTTACTTTGGCAATGGTGAACCGGAGCTGTACCACTACATGTGCCTTATTGGCCTGCCGCAGTCACTGCTGAATCTCCTCTACCGGTACGAAGAAGCACGCATCGCAAACACGAGCGAAGACAACGTTGACGGCACGAAATCTGGCGGTGGTCTCAATCTGATTGAGTACCTGCGCTTACCAAAGCTGCAGATCATCTTCTTCGATCGGTTCATTACGTTCTACCGAGAACTGCGTGAGAAGATGCGGGCACAGGAGGAAGTGATAGCCATGAGGGCCCGTGTGCTGGAAGACGTCAACCGTGAATCTGGCATCAGCGAGAACAATCGCAAGCTATACATGCAGGATCTGACGGCGCAAAGGAATGCATTCACCCGCCAGGTGCAATACGAGCTTCTCAAGTTTCTCCACGAGAGCAAAGACCATCTGCCGCAGATGATGTATCTGCCGGACATTAGTGCCCATGTACAACAGAACGCGGGGACCCCCAGTTGAACGATACGGAGAGATGTAATGCGCTTCTCCTGCTATGACTCGAGACCCTGATGTAGAAGATTTATCCTTTGGCGCTGAATCCTGTCGCTGGCACTCACGCGCACAGGGA